CTTTCCCACACACAGCCCTTGTCCACCAACTTCTAGTGAACCTCGGCTCCGACGACCATATGGAGCTGGCACCCAGGTGGCCTGGCATCCACAAGCAAAGATTACTTCTCTACCTCTGGCTTCCAAAATCTGGGACCCTGGGTCTAATGAATGAGCGAATGAACAAGAACTGAGAACCTACTGTGAGCATTCTTTCCCAAGAGTGAAGAGACCATTCATCAAGCAGCACCCAGGAGCCAGGGGTACCCCACCTTAGGTCCTACACCCTCAAACCGGGAATCAATAATCCCTACATCACAGGATGATTAGAAGATTAAATGACAGGATGTTGTGTCCACCATGCCGGTGAATCTGAAGCAGTTTCGAGGGAGAACCAGGTTCCTACCAGCGCAGGACTCAGGGCCTCGCACAATCGGAGCAGGTGGCTACTGCACTCACTCACGCCTCCTGAGTTCCCTCCCGGAGGAAATGGAAGTCTCCAAATGAGGCAAGAGGAACTGAGCGCTCTGCCAGAACGATCCGGGCACCTTCACCGCTCACCAGCAGTCAAGGATACCACTCAGCCCCATTGATGAATGGGGACATCAAGGCTCAAAGAATAAGTAGATTCACCTGGGGTCACAGAGGTCATCCAAGGGAGAATCCAGATATTCTAAACTTCCCCCAGCACACTCTCTACAAAGCTCCCAAGGCAGTAGTGACCTGCTCCTTGCAGATATTCTAAGGAGGCAGAAGGCATGGTGAAAGGGGAGGGAGGTCAGTTTGCTTAGGGATGAAACTGGGCTCTGCCGCCTACCAGCTGTGTGCTCTTGGACAAAGTCCTTAACCTCCTCCTGCATGTCAGTTTTCTCCCGGAGGAAACGGGAATAGTAACAGTAACCATCATAGTAACTTCTGTAGTAACTGTCAATAGTAACTCCTCACACCTGGGTTGTTATGAGAGGAAATAGGCCAACCTGTGCAAACTACTTAAATGATGCCTCATCCAAGTAAGTGCTAAATATTAGTCACCACCACCACCATCATTAATTATTATTCCTTTCCATTCCATTACTTTCCCAAGGACAAAGCTAATGTCTACAAAGCCTCCTCCCCAGGGAGGCTGGTGCCACATGATCAGAAGGATAGGGTCTGGGGCTCACACAGACTCCCATGCGGACTCAGGAAGCTTTTTGTCCAAGCTGCTACATACCAAGCAGGGAAGCAGCCTCCTCCTTCTGGAACAAGGCCTCTGCTCTGGGAATTAGGACCTCCTGCCTGCCTTAGCTTTTAAGATCCATCTCCTACCACTTAGCAGCAGGGCCCCCCTCCATCTCCCTGCTGACTCCACCTTCCAGCCACAACTGGAATGCTACAGCCTGGGCAGGGAGGAGGAGAGAAGGAAGCATAAGTCCCCGTGGAAGAGATCAGGTGGGAGTCCAGGGTAGGGAGCTCGCAGCTTCTATGAAGTAGTGTCCACAGGGCTCTGCATGGACCAAGCACTGCTCAATAGAGCCTACAGGGCAATTACCCTAATCATGTGCATCTCCCAAACAGCTGTTTGATTTATTAGCACAACGTCTTTTTGAAACGCCGCTCTTAAATATAAATAACACTTAATCATCCAGCTGTCGTTAAATTCATGTTATATTGATTTCTTGGAGTGCCACAAATTTGAAGGCAAATGGGCTGGTGGATGTGCACACAAAGCCAAGGGGTGGATCAGCAGGTGGGAGGAGGGTAGGGCAGAAGGAAGGGGACGTGCAAGGGAAGGAGAAAGGGGGAGGCAAGGGAGGGAGGTAAGCCCTGTTCCACTGCCTCAGGGTCTGAACCAGTTTTACATCAACCAGCGCTGGACACAAGTAAGAAGAAAGCAGAGCCTAAAAAAGAAGGCACATCTGTTGCACAGGCTAATCACAGCCTAACTCACGGGACCAGTTTTCTGCGTAGCCGCTGCCTTATCACGGCCCATCGCTGAGCTACTCCAACAGGTTTCCAGGTGGCATTGTCTGTGTAGTGCTTTCTCTGGATGAGGATGGGGAGAAATGGCTAAGAAATGCCCCCTAGCTGGCTAGAAGGAAAGAGATTGGCTGCGAAGCCTTTGCATCAAAGCCTAGCGATAACTAGGAACTAAGAGCAGTTAATCCACCTCCCCCTTGGCTCTCTTCCCATTTCAGGACTGCAGCCTCCCTAGAAAGTCCGCATTTAATTCCCAGCGACCCTCATTGTGATTAAAAGGATCAGGAGGCCAAGTGTAGGCAGACTCCCTTACAGATTTCCGGTCTTCCTTGAGCTACACAGCAGGGGATGGAGAGATGCAGAGAAGGAGAAAGGAAACAAGTTGGTGGCCTCGGATTCCTCTGGAAACGTTTGCAGAGCATCGACAAGCATCCAGGATGAAGTCCTGGGAGGACAGGGGTGAGCTGGCAAGTGAGTAGGGGATTGGGCAAGAAAGAACAGTGCTTGTGGACAACCCACGCCTTGTGCTCCCGAAGAGCCGCCTAGAGAACAGCCTAGCGGCAGCAAGGGTCTACAAAAAGCTGCATCCACGTTTGGGGTTTTCTAGCGCAACTCCCTTCTGAAAGAGAAGACCCCAGAGTACTTAAAAGGAAGGCCACAGAGGGGTGGTAGAGAGGGAGAGTGACACCGTGACGTGCTCCGGGGCTAGGCAAGAGAGCCAAGAAAAAATTAGATGATGCACACCCAGTTTTACACAAATGTTAATTAATGCCTGCTTTGTCCTAGAAACCAAATTGGAACCTAACACTAAGTGCAGAAAGTGTGGGGATTTTTTGAACCCATGTTTAGAAATGTTTAGCTCAAAGCCAGCATAATGACTGCTCACTTTGCATTAACATGATGGATCCTGCTGCTGCAAAAACATGAGAAAGGAAAGGGGGTAAAGAGGGAAGCAGAGAAAGAAGCAGAGGTCTACGTGGAAGACACACAGACATTTCAGGAGCTCTGCACTCCATCCTTTTGCCCCTTCAAGGTTCTGTAGAATGTTTACCTGGAAGCCAACTTCACTATTTCTGTTGGAAACCATGCACCACTCTGCACACGTGGGACCTCCCTGTCCGTGCACTCCAAGGGCATGCATGTGGACATGTTCCGGAAGACAGAGGTGGGTCCCACTATCACACGATGGAGGAGCAACCATGCACAGCTAGGCTCTTTGAGAATGAAGGTGTATATCTGGGGGGATGGGTGCACACCCCCCACCATTCTTAAAAAGAAAATGTCTCTAGGTTCTCCTCATTCTGAGAGCTTTGCTTTATTCCATCTCCCCTGTCCAGTCGCAGGGCAGCTCACACAGCACACAGCAGGAGTGCAGTCTCTCTCCCGGGGAGTCTGCTTCTCTCCTCCCCAGGCTAAACAGAGGCCTTTGCAGAAGCTGAAAAAAGTTTACAATGGCAGAGATGGGGGTGTGGAGAGAACCCTTTTCTTCAGCACCCATCTTTAGGATTTACAGAATCAACAAATCCTGTACCCAGCTCTGAGGCCCCCTTGTTCAAAAGAATGTTGACTCCTTTCCTCTAAAGTTCTGGAAGACTCCCAAGATATTTTTCCCACTGGTGGGTTTGCAGGACCCTCTGAACACATGATTTTGTGTAAAGAGTACAAGCTTATCCCATCTCTTGCCAGGTTGCCCAACAAATTATCCCAAAAGGGACAGCTATAGAAACATAGGACCTGCTATATTTATATTCAACTCCAAAATAAGGTTTTAGATGGATCTCATATTCTTCTCCATGCAACAACTGAGCCATGAATGGATTGCTCTTTGACCCCCAAATGACTGCAAAAAAGCCCCAACCACCTCCTTCCTACCTCTTCCAGAAAAAGTTGGAGAATGAGCAGCCTGTGAAACTCCAGCCAGGGAGAAAAGGAAAGGAAAAGATTTGGGGGAATAAGACCTTGAACCACAGGCTTCTGGAGAGTGATTCTCCACTGTCAGGACAAGTCTGGTTCTAGGGGACACTGGCAGATCCAAGAATGCTTTGCCTCCGTTATAGGGTGGGCACTGCTGAGGTGGTCATGAGCCTCAGTGAGGCCCTTCCTCCCTTCCTGCACTACACCCTGCTCATTCCCCCTTCTAGTTGTATTTCTCAGACACATACCTCAAAAAGCATGTGACAGGTGTTAGCGGGAGGCCTAGGGAAAGCAGCCTTATGCTTCCCAGCATAGAGCAGAGGGAAGGGGAGGGAGGTGAAGGGGAGACCCTAGTCCTGTGTCCCTAAACCCAATTGGCTTGCACCAGCTCCAGAGACCAGAGATGTGAATAGACCACACCTTTTATGGAGGATGTGACCCCCATATATCCTCCCTAGACAAACAACACACCCAAAGCGATTCTTAAGCCCCTTCCTGCCTGAAATCCCAGCGCATTCCCGGGGAAACAGTGCCACACTTGAGAAAGGCGTTCGTGCTGCCTCTTACTGGGGAAACGCAGTGTCTGTTCCACATGCACCGCCCTACAGAACTGCAGCCCATCCGCCTCTGTGGCCTCTTCCCAGAACGATGGGCCACCACGCTCGCCAAATATCTGTCGGTCTGTCTCCTGTTAAAATCCCAGGGTGTCCGAAGGCCACGGAGCAGAGGTTACACTGCGAGAACCTCCCAAGACCTCCCATTACTTCTCCTGTTTTAAAAACCAGCTAGGGATGCCAGGCGCTGGGAACTGAAAAATCGCTCCCCCAGCCTACCCGGCTGGGAGGGAGAGGAGGTAATACACAGGATCCCACCCCGAAAGTCCTGGGTAAGAGAAGTCTGAGTCCAGGAGCATCAGCGGAGGAAAAACAAGGGAAATACCTGTCCGGGCCGCCGCACCTTCGCGGGTGTCCAGGTAGGACGTTGGCAGGTGAGTGTGCGCGGCGTGTGCCTGTGTGCATTTGTGTGTGTGCGCGTGTGTGTGTGCGTGCGTGCAGCGGGCTGGCTCCAGGGCAGCCGAGGACTCCCGGACCCGCCGGGTATCTCCGCCCGCGCTGCCCTCGCCTGCCCGCCAACCGCCGACTCCTTACCTGGAAACGCCGATTTGCCTCCTTCAGCCGGAGCGCCGCATTGACACTGCGGATGGTGCCTGTGCCGCTGCCTCTCGCCCTCCTCTGAACGTGTGCGTGTGCGCGCGTGTGGCTGCCTCCTCCAGCCCCAGCCCCGAACGCAAATACTCCACCGAGGCTCAGGCAACCCGGGAGGAGGCAAGAAAAACCGAGAGCGAAATCAGAGGCTGCGGGGCTTGACAGCTCTTCTTGCAGCGTCCAAGGTGGGCAGAATGTCCAGCAAAACGGTCGGAAAATATGGATCGATTCCAAGCACCCCTTTCCTCCGCCCAGCCCCGGAGCTGGAGCGGCGGCCGCTCTCGGGGGCTGCGGTGGCGACGCGGGACTGCCCCCCTTCGTCCTCACCCCCGCGGGCTGAATGTCCTTGATGCCAAGCGGGCACGGCGGCGTCACTCCGCGCCGCCCATGCTCGCCGGGTCGGGCCGCTGCCCGGACGCGGCGAGTGCGCGGGTGACCCGCCGGGGAGCGCTGTCGGCGCCTCTGCGCGCCTCCCTGGGCAGCGGCGGCCGCCCCCCGGCAGCCCGCGGCCGGCGGCGCCGCTGCTGCCCGCGCCCCAGCCGGGGGACTGGCCGGGCAGCGCCGAGGGGCCGGGGCTGGGCGGCCGCGGGAGCCGCGGGCTGCTCCCTGGGGAAGCGCGGGGTTGCAGCGGTGGCGGCGGCGGCGGTGGTGAGCGTGGCCGCGGGCCGAGTTCGGCCTGCCGGGCGCGCCCCCGGCCCCCCGGGCGGGCTGCTCACAAAGTTTGCAGGGGGCAGGGAGCGGGGCCGCCTCTGGCTCGGCCGCCGCCGGAGCTCCCGGGCTGCCTGCTGCCGCCGCGGCTCGCTGCTGCTGTGCATTGAAGCCCGGCCAAGCGCTGCAAAAACTCCAGCTGCCTGGCGCTCCCTGGGTCCTCCTCTCCTCCCCCCGCCCTCCCTGCTTCCCTCCCTCCCTCCGTCGCCTCGCCTCCTCCCCTCCCCGCCGCCCGCCGCCGCTCCCTCTCTGGCTCGCGCTCGCTGGCTCGGAGCTCGCGGCTGACATCTAGTCCGACCGAAAGCGGCCGGCAGAGGGGGCCGGGGGCGCCTTCCCCGCCCTCGGCGCCCGCCGCCGCCCGCCTCTCCTGCGCTCCCCCGCACCGACGTTTGCGGACACCGCCTGCTGTCCCCTTGGCCCGCACCGAGCGACCCTGCCAGCGGCGACGTGGGGCAGAGAGGGCCGCAGACACGCACACGCACTCATGGGCGCAGGGCGCGCACTCGGAATGAGGCACAGCCTCCTGGGAAGGTGAGGATGAGGGCGCCGACGCTCGGAGGCACCTTCGGGGGTTCAGAACTGACCCAGGCGCAGGCGCTCATTCCTCAGCAGAGCCCTGCCCCAGCACCCCAGCAACGCGCCCCCGCGGCACCCACGGACGTTCCGGCCGGACTTGTCTGGCCATTTTTCCATTAGGAGGCTGACCTGGCTCCTTTCTCCTCAAAAACCCTACTTCCTAGACCACAGCAAAATAGAGAAAACAGACTGTCCACCTCAGGGCAGTTTCTGACGTCCAGAGAAAGAAATCACGGAGGAAACGTGCCTGGACGGGAGACGGGCAGCACTGCTCCTAAAACCTCTGCCTGGATCTTCCTAGGAGCGTGCCCCGCCCCCAAAAGAGGCCTGCGGGATTCCCACACTTACGTACCCCACTCCATGAATGTCCCTTCATTCCCACCCTACCGCATCCCAGGGAGGTGACACCATCAGTTGCACCCACTAAGGACCTCCCTGCATGGTGACAATCAAGGATGACCCCTTCAGGAGCCGGAGTTTTGGCTTCTTCCCTCCCCACTCATCTTCAGCTTTGCTGTTCCCCACAGCCAGCAACTTCCTGCCCGTTATTGTCCCTCCCATCAGAACAACATCTCAGAATCTTCCCATTAGATGAAAATGATTGACAACAGCATAAATCCCTCCACCTTCCTGTAGGGGTTATATTTCACAGAAGTCAGAGTTGTAAACCAGGAAGTCTTTGAAACCAGCTGTGAGCTGACCAGCTATACAAGCCCAGGGAGGGGAGGGGTGGGGGGCAGCCCGCCGAAGGTCAGGCAGTGCCCACCTGGATGGGGCCTCCTTATTGAAGCTTTGCTCTAATGAGGTGGGTGCTTCAGTGAGAGGGAGACGGGCCAAGCCAGCGTGAGGAGGAGACCAGACGTTGGCTGTTTGGTTAAAGGGTCTTCCAGGAGACAGAGTGGAGCCGTTTAGCCTCTGGTTGTCTGCTGAGCATTGCATGGCCCAGAGAGTAGCAAAGAGTTATCTTATTAGCTTGTCGTTAATACATCGACCCGGCTCCTCTTGTCTCAGAAACCCTGGATCCCAGACTCTAGATAAGGCACACATTATCAGGTTAGATTCGGAAGTCCAGAGAAACACGTAACAAAATAACTCCTACTGCTGCTTTGTGGATCTCCACTGGGGCTGAGGAAGTCCAGGCACAAATGTCTCTCCAGGCAGCACTGAGGCACCCAGAATATGAAATTTGACGTGGCTGTCATGCTCAGGCTTCTGTAAGGCTGTCCTCACCTTGGTCCTGGCCTGCTTCAAGGTACTTTCTCTAAAATTGCTGGCCGAGACCAACACAGGCTTTTTCCAGAGGTGACAGTGTAGATCACCCCATGGAAAACCGTTATGAGTTACTTAAGGAATATGGTTCAATAAAAGTGTGTGTTGTGGGGGTGGGAATCCATTCCAATGTCTGTTTGCCACTCGGCTTTCAGGGTATGCCATAAAAATGCTGAAAGGGAGGGGAGGTGAGAAAACAGCTCTGCTTCCAATCTCAGTGATCTAGCATGTATTTTTAACACAACTTGAGTGTTCCCCCTTGTAGCCCGTGTGTGCACATGCATCCATGTGTTTGTGTGCATATTGCTGGTGAGCCCCAGGTTCATTTTCTGATGGATGGATGGGAGTCCAAGACCTTTTTTCTTTCAGAGGTGGCAAATAAAATGTATTTATTATTCTTTATCTCCTGCCTAGCGTGTGGTGTCATTTATTTTCATTCAGAGAAATGAATGCCATGTGGTGCCTGAAGAGTAATAACAGAGCCAAGTGGCAGGAAAGAAGTGAGGCAAAAAGCTGGCGCAGCAATGGGTAGGTGAGAGGCCCCGTCCAGGCTGCCGTCATTAAGGGGGCCATATGGCCACTGGCTGTTCCCTCCTTCCCCTTCCATTTAGCGACAAGGGTGAAAGGTGTGCTGAAGGGGCAGTTACAAGTCGGCATAAGGAAGAGCAGAAAGGGTCACATCGGCAGCAGCGTGGAACTTGATTTTTTGCTGTTGTTGAATCATGGTGGCCCTTGGATTTCCTCTCTCAACGCTGGAGAACAGGATGGAGTGGGGTGAGTAATTCTAGACTGGGAGCTGGAAGACCTGGGACCTAGTCCTGGCTCTGCCACCCCCCTGCTCTATAGTTTGGGGGGAATCTCACCTTCTCCATGACACACTGTCTTCTCATCTGGCCCACTTGCCCCTTAGAGATAGTAGCATTCAAAAGAGAAGCTATCTATTCATGATGCACTTGGAAACACTGAGGTAAGTGCAGTAAACTTACGTTATTCTAGAGGAATTAGCATTGCTTCTCAGAAGAAGGTAACTTTTTAAAAGGCACAGTAAGTACAATGAGGGTGGGAGGGCTCTGGGTCGTCCTGGCCCTTCTCTCTGACCAGATACATTGGTGAAAGCAGCTCTACAATGGTTCAAAACGGGTTTCTGCATGAGTTACAAACCCTTCTCGCTCTCACACCTCCCTACTGCCGCCTTCTGATGGGGGAGCAGGAGGGACCCTAGCTTTCTCCTGCTGACCTCAGGTCTCTAAGTCACCCATTCTGTCCCAGGCTGCTGGGGAAACTGGGGAGTCGCTCTCTGGCGTGTGACCCCAAGAGGGAAAAGCTAAATGGCACATTGCTTCATAAAGTCTTGTTTTCTAAGGAAGTAGTTTTTTATGGCAATTTGGTTGCGGTTTCTTGAGGGGTTTGAGGAGAAAAGTATTGGCTCATCCTTCACAGCTGAATAAAAGGGCCAGATTTAATAGGAGAAAAGAGAAGAAATCCTGAAATTTTCCTTCACTTAGCTACCACTGTTTTATTAGGCTAGGAACAGAACAGCTATTTAAGTTGATAAAAGCCAGATTTGCTTGTTAAATAAATCACCAGAGCCTGGTGGTGCCTCAGAGAAATTTTTCCCCCTAGAGCTGGCCGAGGGGAGGTCGGGGGGATGGGTTTTCTGCAGCGCACAGTGAGCTGCTTGAAAACCCGCAGGCAGTCCCCCGGCTTAAAAACCTAAATCGTGGCGCCACCTGCAGGACGGTACAAGCACCAACACTATCCCAGCTCCGCAGAGACTGGGAGGGAAGAGAGCCTTCCGCAGTGACACCGCGCGGGCTGCGGGAGCAGCATTGCACACAGTAGGAAAGGCCCCAACTTCCTCCTGGCCCCTGCGTGTGTCACCGGATGCCCACAATACGCCCCAGCAGCCTTTAATCTGTATCCTCCTTGAAAGCTGACACTTCACCATATCAATGGCTGCTCTCAAGATTGAAGCAAATTTATTCCTTGCTCTGTTTCCTAAGGGGTTAAGCCAGCCTCTAACCCAACAGTTCTATTTTCCAGACTCTGGGCCACAGACCAGTAAAACAAGAGAGAGAAATCACTGCCCTTGGAGCAGCATGGGAGAGGGGAATCCCTGTATTCTAACTGTAGCTTGAATTTGATGGCCGGGAATTGTTAGTGGGTTTCTCTAGCCTGTGGGTGCTAACAAGGACACAGCCATCCTAACATCTGAATCTCAACTCCAGCCTTCTGTTCCACAGACTTGACCTCTATGGACAAGCCCCTCCCTGTCTCCTCCTATTATGTCAGAGAACTTAGATGGTGTCTGTGCTTAGGAACAAGTCTGATCGTGTTATTCTCCACAGGTCTCCTCACTGAAGTCCACGTCCACTAAGTCATCTGACGGAACGACATCTCTTCATCACCTCCACCCGCCTGTCCTGCTGGCCATGGCCAGCCCTGCTGCTCTGCTGTGGCTTCCCAGGCACACCAGGGGCTGGCACCACGGTGGGGAGGGTGCCCCCACCCATTCA